CGCTATGGGTCGGAACCGACTCGATGGCATATAACAACAACAACAACAACTCTGTTATATGAAGGGAAAACCAAACCTAAAGCCAAAGCCCATTGCCCTTGGGTTCATTCCCATGAGAGAACCGTCCCACAGTGTTTCCAAGGCTATAAATCTTTGCAGAAGCACACTGCCTCTTCTTTCTCCTGTGGAGTGGCTAGCAGGTTCGAACCTCCAACCTTCTGGTTAACAGTGAAGCATTTAATCACTGTGCTACCAGGATTCCTTCTACACCAATCAACCAAAACACCAGACTCACAGCCATTGAGTCGATTCTGACTCTAGCAACCCTATAGGATGGAACTACCTCTGCGAGGGTTTCCAAGACTGTAACCTTTACGGGAACTGACTGTCACATCTTTCTTCCATGGAGCTGTGGGTGGATTCGAACCTCTGACCCTTTGGTTGGCGGCTGGGAGCTTCAATTGCTGTGCCACGCCGCCATCTGTGTATCTATGTACTTGGATGGGCACATGGCTGGTACGAAGCGACGTTACGAACATCCTCTCACCGGGCTCCTGGGTGAACGTACTTCCTGTGTCTCTTGCTCAGAGGCTCTGAGCACAGATGATGTGTCAGCTCATAGCGGGACGCTCTGTTTTAATAAAGGAGCTCTGATAGTGTAGTGGGTACGAGTTCAGGCTGCTAACCTCAGAGTTGGCAGTTCAAAACTACCAGCTGGGAGAAAGATGAGGCTTTCTGCTCCTGTAAAGATTTGCAGCCTCAGAAACCCTATGCAGTTATGAGTTGGAACTGACTCCATGGCACACCACCATCCATCCATCCCTCCATCCGCTTTGTTAGATCCTGATGTTTTCCCAAAGTGATCGAGCGCTCTAAAGCTTCGACACAGATTTCCAAGTGACTTTGTTTTCGAGGGCTGCTGGCACACAAAAAAACTACAAAGTGGCTACCTTTAAACAAAACCGTGAATGTATTGTCTCCCTAGTTTGGAGGCTAGAAGAGGTGTACCCCGCCTTCCTAGGCTTATAGAATGCTCCTCACGTGGCGTTTCCCCCTGTATGTCTACATCCGTTCTGCTCTGTTCATAAGACGCCCCTCAGAAGAGATTTGATTTACAATCCACCCCGCTCTGGAGCCCTTGTGTGAAACCAACGGTTAAGCATGGGGCTAGTAGCCTAAAGGGGGGTGTGCTTCAAACCCACCTGGAAGTGAAGAGCCTTGCAAGACACCTGGCAATCTGCTTCCGAAAAGATCAGCCATTGAAAGCCCTATGGAGCACATCCCTGGGGCACCATGAGTTAACGGCATTCAACAGCTGCTCTGGTTGTGAAATGCCTTCGAGTCAGTGATGACTCAACCCTGCGTGGGGCTTCTGAGGAGCAGCTGGTGGGTTTGAATCTTGTAGTTAGCAGTCCAGTGTTTATCCTACAGTGCCACACCAGGAGCCCACTACTCTGGTGGGACCTCATTAACATAGCAATAGAAGACCCCTGTTCCCAACAGGGCTGTGTCCCCCGGTATAGGGATTGGGATACAGTTCTATCTGTAACACGAGGCTGGAAGGGGAGCCAGCTTGCCCGGCAGGTGCTGTGTGCCAGGCTTAACCGCTGCGTGCCCCCAACTCCCAGGTCAGGAGCGCGTGGTGATTACGGATGACCTCCCGCACCCCTTCGGCCTGACGCAGTACGGCGAGTACATCTACTGGACCGACTGGAATCTGCACAGCATTGAGCGGGCCGACAAGATCAGCGGGCAGAACCGCACCCTCATCCAGGGCCACCTGGACTTCGTGATGGACATCCTCGTGTTCCATTCCTCCCGCCAGGATGGCTTCAACGACTGCATGCAGAGCAATGGGCAGTGTGGGCAGCTGTGCCTTGCCGTCCCTGGTGGCCACCGCTGCGGCTGCGCCTCACACTACACCCTGGACCCCAGCAGCCGTAACTGCAGCCGTAAGTACGCCCCGCGTCCTACCAGGCTGGCTCTGGATGCTGGAGGGCCCCGGCTGCATGCAGAACCTGCTGCTCCAAGACACAGTTCACACTGGGCTGGTGGAGTCCACGGGGCGGGGAGACCTTGGAATGCGGGGGAGAGCCCCCACTCATAGAGCCAGTCACTGGTCTACAGGCTTTCCATGGAACTCACTTAATCCCCTACCCCAGGCAGCAAGAGAGGGATTGTCATTGTACCCGTTTCCTAGATGAGAAACTAGAGGCACAGAGACGTTAAGGGACCCACCCAAGGCCACACAGTGGGGGAGAGGAGGTTGCATGAGGCCTCTCAGGACCCCTACCATCAGCAACTCTAATTGTCACTCCAGCCTTCTGAGTTAGCTGGGCCTTTTGTTCCCATTTCATGGATGAGAAGAGTGAGGCTCAGAGGGCCATAGAGCCCCAGAGCTGTGCATGTGCATCCTGTTGGGAGGATCTTCTAATGCGATATCGACTAGCTTTTTTTGTTGCTGAGTTGATTGTTGCTCCTGGTGTCTCCGTGTGACAACGTAGAACTGCCCCCTAGGGTGTTCTAGACTGTCCTCTCTCTTGCTGCTGGGGGGATTCAGACTGCCCATCTCTTGATTAGCATTTGAGCTCTGTGACCTCAGCC